TACACAGCCAGTGACCATGTTAGGGGGTTTATACAGGCCCCCCCAGCTCTGTCTATGATACATTTGTAATTGTAATGAACAGGAGCAATTTTAGCTAGAATGTTATAAACGGTAGCAAGTAACAGAATGCACTCTGCACCTGCGGGACGACGGGTTAGACATACTGTCACCCCGCGTTCATTAAACTTCCACCTGCTATACTTGCCCTTAGAATTGCATTGGTTTAGGACAATGTCTGTGCATAGCCTATTCAACCTGCTCTCCTGAATGGCCCCTCATCCCAGGGGTTCTAATCTAGCGCTGTACACAGATTGACATACTCCTGTCTCACAGTGTGTACCAGCATGTCCTGATCTATTCTTTACCACAGATTGTTCATTTTGGTTCATTCTTTACAACTTGCTATAAAAGCTATAATTTACATCAATGAAGCTTGGTTCCCAGCAGATTATATAGATATCGGGGCTGGGCAGCTGGGAAAGGCCAGCATCCCTCCCAACCCTGGAGAGTCTCCCCTGAGCAGTCTGCACCCCACAAAAAACATATTATGAATATGTTAAAGTGCGTTGCACAGAGCTCATTGGTCAGTCTGGGGGGCCCTAGCTGGCTAACACAAGCCCAAGGAATCCATTGATACCTGATGTTAGTTGTGTGAATAATGATTCAATTATGGAAGCCAGTGCTGAACTGGCTCTTTAAATACCTTCAGAGAGATCGCAGTGTGAACAGGGTTAAATCACTCATCTAAAAGTCTGGGGCCATTAAAAATAGCCCTAGGAGACAGAGGGGAGCCCCAGGTATCCAGTGACACCTGTGGTTAGTAGTGTGAGCAGTGGCTTAACCTGCAGGACGTGTTGTTACGCCCTAATAGCATTAAAGCCCATTATACCTGGGAGATAATGTCCTAGCGATGTTAAGGGGTTAATGTTTCATTTCATTCTTACTACCAGGATGCAGCAGAACACACACATTTACCAACACTCCAAAAAGAAAAATCGTATTGTAACGATTTATTTAAACATAGAATGAGCCGGTAAGTGTTATTGTAAAAGCATCAGAAACAGGTCATCTAAACACTAATGTGTTACCGCTGTCTTTATATTACACTGTAGTATATTCCCAGTTTTATAAATACCAAAGTGACTGATCTAATTTGGTTATTATAGAAAAATCACACAACATTCACAGATAACAAAGTGGTGAACTAAATTGTAACATTTTGAACTTAAATAACCAATTAGAAAAAATATGACATCCCCCAATACATCTGCTGTGAGGCCTTGATTTAATATTTTTGAGTAATTGTTTCAAATAATCACAATCTGATAGAAAATATTTTTCAAATGAATTAACTTCGGAACTTTCCATATTCTTTAACGGTGCAGATAAATCATTTGAAAAGCTTATTGAAAATAATTAAATTGAGGCCAAAGTTTGTTGTCATGTAAACACAACTCACTGTTCAGTGAACAGATCCCTGTTTTACCTTTTTGCAAGAAACAGACCTACTGCCATGGTACAGAGCTGCAGAATAAGTTGGCATTTTATTACTAAAAGGCTAGTAATCTTCTCCTGGATATGCAGCCTTAACCTTAGCTCGCTCTATTCCGTATCTGTAGTAATAGCACTCAAATAACTCTGTATATGCTATTTGAAGGAAATCTTATTACTCAGGGAAATCCCACTAACCCCCAAACAGTGCGGGGTGGAATATTGATTCTGCAATACACAGACTGCGACGATGCATAGATCGTGGCCGTATTGAACATGGCTCCCTGCTTGGCCGGATTAAATCAAGGCCGTGTGAGGATACCAAAGCACTTGTGCTGAGAATCTGCTCTGAACTGAACTGCTCTGAATGCCTGTAAATTGGTAAAGCGAGTGCCAGACACTGAATGTGGCCGCTTCTCATGCTAAACAGGCATATTTTTCGGATGCCATCAGAGTGGCCTACCCCAACCCAAGGCAATTCTTTGCTGACAATACAGGCTATTCTTCCACTGCCTTCTTATTTCAGAAATCCTGTCCTGCCTCCCACGGCCTTTCCGAATCAATTTCCACACCGAGCCGGGGTCTGAATGAAATCACTCCAAGAGGGCAAAATAACACAGAATGCTCGGCTCTAAAAATGCCATCAAAAAGCGTTAGCACCAGTTAACGGCGCATTTTCAAAGCTGTTTAAGTCAAAGTGCCTGTTTGGTATGCAGGTATTTGAGGTGCAAATTAACATCTCAAACGCTCTGTAAACTGTTAGCTTATGTTAACTACGAGCCCAAACCCCTCGCTGACAATAAGGTGTTTAATAAGGTGATACTGAGTATTGTTACATATTCCCGAGCAGGGAGATAATAAATGGGTAGAAAAGGCTTTTACTACAATTAGCTGGTTTTTTTTTAAGTTTAAAAACGCCTTGTGAATTTATTTATGAATCACATTAATCACACAATAGGACTTTTTACAATCTAGCTCAGTGGATGAGGGATAGATTTACATTTATGGTTAGTGGAGGCACAGAGAGCTCAGATGTCTCTATAGTTCTAACCCAAAATGATCCACTTCTATGTTGCTTGTTTCATGACTTGGAAGAGATAAAAAGAGTCACAATGTAACTACGTCAATCCCGCCACAAATGAGAAAAATGCATTTTCCACATGGCAAACGAAAACGCATAACAAAAACAATTTAAAAAAATGGGGAAAACAAACATTTGCGCCCTTAATAGGTTGGTTCTCGTAGGTAATTGCCTATTCCGCTTACTGACAGGGTTCCAGCCGCTGTGACTCCCCGACTCACAGGTTAGAATCCCAGCGAGGTCAACATTCTATAAAATAAGAACGAATAAGCTGTGGAATAAGAAATCTTAACTTCGGGAAAAATTCTAAGCCGGCGGTAAGATGAATATATTTTTTCTTGTTAAACGAGCTGATGATATTATTATTCATTATTACATCATGTGCTTGTTACGATCTACATTTACATATACATGCAGTCTTTCTACTATACCTTCCTGTTATGTAATAAAACACTCAAAGAGTGAGAAAATGATACTTTTTGATTTGTCTAAAATACATTATGACACCTGTTGGAGGAGCTATTAACGGTAGTATTTATTTTACTGTATCGTGTGAAATATAATATATAACATACTTCCTAATAAAGTCCCAAACTAATCTTGGATTGTTTATCTTGGATTGTAAAATGAAAGATAAAAGTGGGGTGGTTAAAAAAAAAAACAATAAATATTGTTTAATATCTGAAATTATGTTACAAACCAACGGTCAAACAGGACACACAATGACTTTCAAACAGGACACACAAACTCTGTCAGAGCTGGGGCGATGAGCAATAATTTGGGTACACATACTAATTCAGTAATGTCCAGGGTACGCCGAGTACGCTCAGAGCAGCAACAGATAGAAAAACGCCATAGTCTTCACAATAAAAGAGTGCAAGCTCTTCGGGGAAGATGTGTCAAAGCAGAGCTTGTGAGCTTATTACTCTATATGAGTCGATAGTGAGAAGCATTATCTAGAACGTGCATTATTTAATTTATAAAAAAAACTAAATATACAAAAACAGCATGAGTGCTTATTCAAACTCACTTGCGTCGCATTTGCCATGAAACGCGGAGTCCAATAGCTGAATAATCTGACATAAAATATAGGGTTTCTGATAGCTGAATAATCTGATATAAAATATAGGGTTTCCAATAGCTGAATAATCTGATATAAAATATAGGGTTTCCAACAGCTGAATAAAGCGAGACCATTTAAACATACACTAATGCTGCACTTTACAATAGTCCTCCTGCCGCTAGGAGAACCGATCGGGAGGCCTGGGTGTAAAGTGTTCCTTTCCTACTCACATACAATACACAGAGCGATTTACTAATGTGAGAACGCAAAGTGAATTTCAAATTTAAGGCCAGAGCAGTCGAACAGGAGGCATTGCCGATTAGAGAATGTTTCCAGTTTGGCTAGTTTACCCTGAATTTGAAATTTTGGTTGAATACTCTCTTTAGTGAATACGCCTGACAAATCTACTTTGGCTTCCGTTATCATTTCTATGCGGATGACACACAAATCTACCTGTCCTCTCCTGATCTCTCTCCGCCCAGCTTGACTCGTGTCTCTGACTGCCTAATGGATGGCTGCTCACTTCCTTAAACTCAACTTGTCCAAAACAGAACTTCTGGTCTTTCCTCCCTCAAGTGTTACTACTCCCGTGTCCTTCTGTCTCCAAGTCAACGGTGCTACCATCACCTTCACCTTTACCTCGCAGGCTCGCTGCCTGGGTGTTCTTTTTGACTCCAACCTCTCCTTCACTCCTCATGTCCAATTGATCGCCAAAACCTGTCACTTTCATCTCAAAAACATAGCGCGCATCCGCCCCTATTTAACCACGGATGCGGCTAAGGTGCTGGCCTATGCTCTTGTTCTCTCTGCCTGGACTACTGCAATACTCTTCTCAGTGGTCTTACGTGTTCCCAGATTGCACTGTTGCAATCTATAATGAATGCGGCGACGAGGCTCATTTTCCTGTCCGCTCGCACCTCCCACGCCTCCCTGCTCTGTCAGTCCCTACATTGGCTCCCAGTTAGATATAGGGCTCAATTTAAAATTCTGGTGCTTGCTTACAAGTCCCTACATAATGCTGCTCCAACCTACCTATCCTCCCTAATACACAAGTATGTCCCATAGAGGCCCCTACGCTCTGCCAAAGACCTACATATATCCTCTGTCCGTACTCCCACCTCTAACACTCGCCTCCAAGATTTCTCCAGGGCTGCACCTTTTCTGTGAAACTCCCTTCCCTTCTCCGTAAGAATTTCACCCAGTCTCCACTCATTAAAAAAATTATTGAAAACTCATGTCTTCAAGAAAGAATATCAAATAAACTGTTAGCAGGTTTTTATCCCCCACCCCCATGACTCCTTTCCTGACATATTAAGCCGTCAATGAATACTTTTCTAACAACCTACTTTGTACCCCTACTTTTCCCCTTTGTGTCACTATACCCCACTCCCTCTAGAATGTAAGCTCATTGAGCAGGGCCCTCCACATCTCTGTCTAATTGTCTGGTTAAAATTACATGTGTGTTAGTCCACCAATTGTACAGCGCTACGGAATGTGATGGCGCTAATTAAAAATAATAATAAATCTCTCCTAAAGAGTTGGAACTCGCCATTTCAATCCGAACTGAGCGGCGACAGGAAACGCGGATGTGAAGCGCACAGTAACATTCTAGTAATACAATGGGTACTCGGAAATTCCACCCTGTGGGCATCGCACATTCCAAGAGAACATCCGGAGCTTTGCAGCGTACACAGAAAGTGTCAGTATTGATACATAGTGGCCTATGAATACACAGACTGTAGTGTAAGTAGCTCACAATGGATGTTCCTTTTCTAAGAGCAGTGTAACAGGAGGCGTGATCCTGTAAAGCTGTATTTGGGGCAGAAGGCCTACCAGTGCTGCTCTGATTGCTTTAGCCCGTGGTAGTAGGATTTCACATGATAAACTACGCAGCCTGCAAGACCTGTGTCCCTAAATGATCCCTGACAGCTGCTTCAGTTCAGCACCAGAAAATAAACACATAGCCCTGTCATCCTGCTGGAAGGGAGACAGTGGCTCCACCTGCAGGGTAAATCCAAAATACCCATCGCCCATCCTGCCAGCAAACCTTGCACCCTTTGGAGAATGTTTTTAGGAAGTTGCTGCTAATCACTGTGAATGTAGTGCTCAGTCACAGTGTGTAGACCAGTATTGCTGCTAAAACACTGTCATGGGGAGTGAGGGGGGGCTGTTCTTGGCACGGTTAGAATGAAAGGGAGAGAGGGATAGAGACACTGTGAGAATGAAAGGGAGAGGGGGGATAGAGACACCGTGAGAATGATACGGAGAGGGGGATAGATACACTGTAAGAAGGAAAGGGGGATAAACACACCGTGAGAATGATAGGGAGAGGGGAGAGACATTGTGAGAATGAAAGGGAGGGGGATAGAGACACTATGAGAATGACAAGGAGTGGGTGGTAGAGACACTGTGAGAATGACAGTGAGAGGGGGATAGAGACATTGTGAGAATGACAGGCAGAGGGGGATAGAGACACTGTGAGAATGACAGGGAGAGGGGGATAGAGATATTGTGAGAATGAAAGGGAGAGGGGAGAGACATTGTGAGAATGAAAGGGAGGGGGATAGAGATACTATGAGAATGACAAGGAGTGGGTGGTAGAGACACTGTGAGAATGACAGGGAGAGGGGGATAGAGACACTGTGAGAATGAAAGGGAGAGGGGGATAGAGACACTGTGAGAATGACAGGGAGAGGGGGATAGAGACACTGTGAGAATGAAAGGGAGAGGGGAGAGACATTGTGAGAATGAAAGGGAGGGGGATAGAGACACTATGAGAATGACAAGGAGTGGGTGGTAGAGACACTGTGAGAATGACAGTGAGAGGGGGATAGAGACATTGTGAGAATGACAGGCAGAGGGGGATAGAGACACTGTGAGAATGACAGGGAGAGGGGGATAGAGATATTGTGAGAATGAAAGGGAGAGGGGAGAGACATTGTGAGAATGAAAGGGAGGGGGATAGAGATACTATGAGAATGACAAGGAGTGGGTGGTAGAGACACTGTGAGAATGACAGGGAGAGGGGGATAGAGACACTGTGAGAATGAAAGGGAGAGGGGGATAGAGACACTGTGAGAATGACAGGGAGAGGGGGATAGA